TTCCTGCTTCTTGAGGCAACCACATTCATCGATTCCACCATCCTCTAAGCCAGCCACACAAGTGAAGTCTCTCTCACTCTTCTAATCTCTCCTCCTTCGTCTGTGTCAGTTTTCTGGCCCATTCTTCTGCCCCCTACTTCTGCATTTAAGGGCCCCTGTGATTAGAGTGGGCTCACCTGGATACTCTCTCCATCTCAAGACACTTAACTCTTATTATACCTACAAAGTTGTTTTTGCTGTGTAAAGTTAACACATTCACAGGTTCCAGGGAGTAGAATGTGGATATCTTAAGTGGGACATTAGTCGGCCTACCACACTCAGTAGGAGGTGTTGAGGAGGGAACTAATCCTTAAAGCACCAAATTCAAATTCCATGACAAGAATTTATATATACTCTGGAACAAATACCTCATAAATATTAGGAATTATCTCAAAGATAACATTTAAATCTAACTCCTGAAATGTAAAATATATATTAAAAGCATAATACATTACCTTAAAGACTGTTGACATTGTTTTCTGGTATCTCTTAATTAATAACATATTTCTCCAGATGTTACTTTCTTTTTTTATCCAATTTCATTTGTTATTTTTATTTTTTAGTTCAAAATTGAAAAATGGCAGATTGCCCGTTGTAACAAGAGCAAGCCTCAGAAGTTTATTAATGATTTAATGCAAGTACTTTACACAAATGAATACATGGCTACACACAGCCTGACAGGTGCAAAATCCTCTACTTCGAGGGACAAAGCTGTAAAGCCAGCTATGAATCAGAATGAAGTTCAAGAAATCATAGGTAATAATAGGATTTCATTTTATTGTCACATGAATTTGAAATATTTTACCATTCAAGGTTAAATTATTCACTCATAGTCTTTCTTTTTCAAATTTATTTTTCTGTTAAAGAAAAATATCAGAATAGTCTAAACCTCATTAAATACAGGAAATTTACCAGAAAAACTTTACATTAAAAGTGTTTATTAAACTAAAGTTAAATTTTATATCACTGAAAAGTTTGGATTCATAAAAATCATAACATTATAAAAGTAAATTTTCAAAGTCCTTTCAAACAAAATTTCAGTAACAGTTTATATCTTATTTTCTCTTATCTTGGTTCTATTCCTTATCTTTTATTCCAGAAAATTGGAAGTTAATCTGACTATTCTGTTTATGGTTTTAAATTAATGAATCTGCTTAAATATAGTAATTTAAATCATCAAATACTTTTTATTTTTACTAATATCCAATAAATTTAGGGAATCACTGGATCCCGGCTCTCTATATTTTAATAGTGTACAATTTCTTCTTTGGAAAAGGGTGAGTCACTCTAGTTGTTTCAACTGATGTTGGAATGGATAAATTTATATTCCTAATATTTTAGAGCAAGGAGATTTAGAGTTCAGAGCAAGTAGCAAGGTTAAAGTTGAATGGTACCATAGGAAGACAAACGCGTTTGCTCTCAGTTTATAATACAGACCTTCGTTATCTCTTGCTTTGTTTTGTAAAACCTGCCTATATATTCATCTATTTCAATATCTCATGGGTGTTGGGGCTGCTTTTGCAAAATGGAGATAAAATTATAATGTGGATTGCTTGATGTTTCATCTCAGTTCATACTTTAAGATGCAAAGGCTACAAAGAAGTGTTTTTGTGTGTTATTGTTTTTCACAGGAGTCACAAAACAGTTATTTCCCAACTCAGATGATGTTTCAATCAGGAGAATGATAGGTCAAAAGCTAAACAACTGTACCAAGAAGCCAAATTTAAGCAAAAATATGAACTCTCAGGATATTAAGTAAATCCTTTTGGTAAGTCTTTTAAATTCTCACAGTCCTTTCAACATGGCGAGAAGATGTAATACTTTCATCCCTGGAAAAGCATTTTCTGAACACTCTACTAGAGAATACTAGTGGCCTATGAAATGCTAATCGGTATTCCTGGGAGAGAAGGTGGCGACAGGGAAGATTTAAATTTGAGAAAAGATGAGTTTAGTTACACAGACTTTCCTTTCCCAGAACCTCTCAGATGTTTCAGTATCTTTTAATATGCCCAAGTGCACCAGAAATCTTTAAGAAGGGGATATAGTATGTAGTATATTCCAAATGTGTTTTACTGAGAAACTTTTTTTCTTCACAGAACATGTGTTAAGTTGTGGGTAGGGGTAGAAGGGAGCCAAAGGAGGAACACGTGACAATTTAGGAAGTGCTTCTCTAGAACAGAGAAATTCAGACCCTTGGGAAATCTTTGAGGTACATAATGGGACTGAACTTAGAACTGTGAAACAGCAGTTTGACCTATATACAAGATACTGGCTGGAAGCATTGAGGGGGTCTCCCCCACCATCTTCCATTCTGCTTCTAATTGTCTTTAAATCGGTTGTCACGGTTTGTTTATTTGATAAGGATTTTTACCAAGATATTTGTGTTATAGTGAGAAAAAGAATTATTTGTTTTCAGTGAGTTCTGAAGGAAATACATTTGATAAGTCAGGCCCTGCCCTCAGCAAAACTGTGAAGTGGAATTTTGTGTTTGCTTTAGCAACCCAATGTCCTGGCTGTTTCACTTGTGCTCACCTTTATTCTGATGGAAAATATGCGAAAATATGCATTATTGTGTTATTAATAGTTTAATTGATAAATAGAGGTATATGGTAAACATATGAGGGCAGGTTTTTCATCCATTTTCTTCACTTCTATCTTTAACTTCCACTTTGCCTGTTCTCCACCTAACTAGCTACCTCTGAGACCATAATACTTGTCTTTTCCTTCTGTGTTTTAAGTGGAATATGGACCTGCCTGTAGTGCAGTAATCCCCCCACCCACCCTTTACCCATTGCTGACTACCACCCCCATCTTCCTTGAGGGTCCCTTACTATTTTGCCATACAAGTAAGGCTACCGATGAGGGTCAACAATAGTCTCTCTTCCTTAGAAACAAACAATCAAACTAACAAATTGGAGTACTTGTAACAATTGCAGAGGAACCCTTTCCCTTGACTCACATATACTGACTGGTAAACTGACTTCAAGGTTTATAAAAGATAAGACTATTTGTATCCTTTTTCTTCCCAAGCAATTGAAATTTTCAGTAGATTGTGAAGCTCATAACTTCCCACTTAGGAGGTAATTGCTTAAATGAGCCCTTAGAGCTTCTCTAGAGTTTTGACATGAAGCTACCCTCTTATCCTGATGTATAATGGCCAAGTTCCCTTTCTAACTGCCATGCAACCATACCCTCAAGTCATAAGGCTATCTTTTGTAGCACATTATTGTATGTCAGAGCTCTGTGAAGCATTTTAATATCCCAACTCCTGCCTTTTTAATATCTCAGAGTGCGAAGGGTAAACACAAAACTTATCTCTGATAATATCAGTCAACAACATGTTGGAGAAATTAAAGCCCAAAAGCTTTTATGTCGGTTGTGCTTGTACGTGCCAGTAGTAGTGTTATTAAATCACCTGGCTATAGCATTAATTAAAAATTTTAAAAGGAACGAATCTTTGCTATGAACACAAGGTGTTCTTGTGCCTTCTGAGCCTGAGCCTTGCTTTGTTACTACGCTGCTTGGAATAGACTTGCAAATATTTTGAATCAGAAGTAAAGATTAACAAGGTATTGGAAGTAAACATGTTCTGAGTCGAAAATTTGTTTTTAAATTGACAAGTATCTTTCATTTGAAGTATAGCTAAATCAAAATTATTTCAAAAAGACTGAGAAAAATACTGGGAAGGACAGAGTCACATAAAACTTAAATTTAAAATGCTTGACAAATTAGTCAGATATAGCACCATGTAGTAGAATGCTGCTGATTTTTTTCTCTTCTTGGTCATTTAACTAACAGGAGCCTGAAGGTGACTACACTTATTTAGGCAAACCATATCCCCTTCTTAGCTCCCCGCTCCCACCCCCAAACACACACACACACACACACACACACACACACACACACACACATACACACACACACACACAAACACAAGTATTCTTTGGAAAAATAACTTCCCTTGCATTAATATTAGCAAGGCAATATATATTGCAAAATCATGTAGACTTATACAAATTCCTACACATCCAAAACCTTAGCAACCGCCACCCATGTACCCCATAATGAGCTCAGAGTTGCCACTGGTGGCTTGGATTTGAAGGGACAATCAGCTAGAACTCATTTCTTGGAGGATAAATGCTAAATTCAATCCTTCCTCTTTTTCATCTATTTTCTCTCACTTCTTGACTTCTGTTAATCTAAAAATAAAAAGCCCAAGAGAGAGGCAACAAGCATTTATTTGAGATCTAAAAGAATAGCTATTCGGGAAACACTGAGTCAGAAACCCAAATAGTGTTCCAATTAGCAAGCAAAGGCAAGGGGTATTTATGAGAAAGAGAAGGCGAATAATTACCTGAATAGAAAAAAGGAATTACTATCATGCAGAGAAGCTAACATAATGACACTAATTCTAAAAAATGTTTTTAATTTTCAGTCTGGTAGTCATAATACCTGCTTTCTTGTTATCTTTGCAAACAATTGTTTGGGATACAATGATGCTTTAGGCCTAGTCCAAATTTTGTACAGTTTTAACATTCCAACGGTTTGAGGAATAAGACATGCAAACTCACATCCTCTGGGATGGCAGCTCTGACTCCATTTTAAAGTGGCTTGGTTTATATTATTTTTCACTGTCCTCAAGTTGCCTGCAGCTTGAACTTTGCTAAGATCTTGATGTTGCCAGTGTTTCTGGCCTTTCTTCATTTTTTACTTCTTTCCTATAGTACCCGAAGAAAATTTTATTTATAAGAATTACAGAATGTTAAAATGTCACCTCTGTAATATCCCACTAAGAGGTCAAACAACCCTCTCCAGAAATCTCCAAAGCTGCCTCGGTATATATAATCTCTACCATAATAGTACATATGCATATATTATAACTTAAAAATAATCTAATACAGCAGTGCTCAAATGGGATGGGAAAGATTTTGTTTCCTGCCCCTCAACTGGGGAATATTTGAAAATGTCTGGAGATACTTTTGGTTGTCACAACTAGGTGGTACTTCTAGTGGACAGAAGCCAGGGATATTGCTAAACATCCTGCAATGTGTAGGACAGCCCCCCCAAAACAAAGAATTACCCAGCCAAAAATATCAATTCTGTCAAAGTTGAAAAATTCTGGTCTAAAATGATTTCCTTACTTTAGAGGTAATGAAACTAAAGCCTAAAGAAGTTAAGTGAATTGACAAGGTCATATGATTAGTAACTATTAGAGAGTTTACACTAGCATATAGTTCTTTGTATTTCTTATTGCATTAGTCATGGTTCCCCATAGAAATAGAACCGATAGGATATATTTATATAAGAAATTTATTTTAAGAAATTGGCACACACAGTTGTGGGAATTGGACAGTCTGAAATCTGCAGGGCAGGCCAGCAGGCTGGCAACCCAGGGGAAAGCTGATGTTGCAGTGTTGAGTCCAAAGGTAGTCTGGAGACAGAATTCCTCCTTCTTCGGAGGATCTCAGTATTTTCTCTTGAGCTGAATGGGTGAGACCCACCCATATTATGGAGGGTAACCTGCTTTACTGAAAATTTACTGATTTAAATCTTAATCTTATCTTAAAAATACCTTTGCATCTAGACTGATGTTTGACCAAACTGTATACCATAGCCTAGGCACATTGACTCATCAAATTAAATGTTTTAGGGTCAGAAAGTCTGGCTTTGAAGCATGCTCTACCTCTAAATATATGTGTAGCTTATGGAAACTCTCTGGACCTATCTGAATTTTAATTTGAACAGGGATAACAATACTACCTACTTTAGGGATGGATCCAGAATTTGTGGAACCTGAAGCTTATAGAAATGGAAAATCGTCTTTAAAAAAAGAATCACAATTAAGATACAGAGTTCTAACCAATTCTGTATTCATAATTTTGTATAAATAAATCATAAAAACTACATAATGTTTAAAAGTTAACAAATTTCTCAAATATCACATGTAGAGGAAATTACATAATATTTTTATTAACATCTGTATAATACTTTTATCCTCTTTTTATAGAGTTGCATACATGTTGGTTGCCTCTCCTTTTAACAACAATTTCGTAACAGCCTTTTCTATAACAAGAATAGAAAATAATTTAGACTATCCTCTAGCATAGTTGATGGAAAATTGCTTTTTTTCTTTTTGACAGTTTACAGATGTTTCTTTCAAATTCTCAATTCTTTATTAGATATATAATTTTTAGGATTATTGATAAATTTGAGGAAACTTCTATTGAGTTGCTTTGATATCTGAGCAATAAGATTTCAGGGCATTTCAAATTTTCCATAGAGTGTGTGCTCTTAAATATTCTTTGAATTGACCACATTCAAAGTATTACTAGAAGTCATCCCAAATTGACTTCTAGTAATAATGTAATTATACATAGAAGAGATTACAAAACACAAAATTATATCCCAGTCAATTCTTAACAAAATCTCAGAAGTGCCACTGCCACTCCATGGTTATAATCAGAGGAGAAAATATGACAGAATGTCAGTCAAAGTGGAAAGACAAAGTGGTCTTAACTAATTATTGTTGAAACATCTAACTTTGGTAATTAACAAAAATACATAAACATGTGAAGATATTACCTTTTCTTTGGAAGGTATTCAAGCAAATAAGGTTTATTAGCTTCATAATAATTCTGCCACTGACCTAGCTCACTTGGTTTTCTTGAGTTTTGAAAAAGGTAAAGCAGATTTGGAAAATTGCCTGATATTAGGCAATCAATAAATGTTACTGAAGAATGACAAACAGAATTGTTGATAATTTTTTAAGATAGTTGATGGGTATGTGAGGATGGTTCATTTTACTTTGTGTGTTTGTAATTTTGCCTAACAAAAAGTTTTTTTAAGTCATTTGAAATAAATATATATATATATATATTAAATGTTTATCTGATATCTGTGCTGAATTCCTCTGAATAGATAATAAAAAGAACTCCGTCACCTCAATAGTAATAGTTACTATTAACAATTTGTGTTTTTAAGCAAAACGTTGTAGTAGACACAAAATAAACAACTCATACCACTGTTAAAAATATTATAAGAATTCTAAAGTAAATTCGTTTTGTTCTTTAAATTTGCTTTTATATAGGTATCTGAAATAAAACACCTTCAGTTCTAAATCTAACATGGAATTTTGTTGGAGAATCTGCAACCTCCTTGGCAGTGAGCACAGGGAGACATATGCAGTGACAGGCTGTGAGATATCTTTAACATCGCTGGCTCTCCTGATGGCGCAACAAGCTTGCTGAAGAAGCTGCATGTACATTCCACCCTAAATATCCATGATGCATCAAACTAGAGAATTTCGAGCAGTCAAACAAGCATGCATTATGGTTTCTTGGAAATATACATTTTTCTATCCCCAAATGCTTCTCTGTACAGCTAACTTAATAAGATAATCAGAACTCTTATAACAACAAAAGTTTCAACCCCTAAGATTTGTCATTGTCCTAATCGATTGCTGTACATTTATTATTATCAACAACATCCCTTTTAGTTTTCGGATCTTTAGCATAAGCACATGTTTGGAAAAGTACAGTGAAATAATCAATGTTCACAAACATAAAAGCAGCAAAGTCAGCCTAAAATCTGACAATAATCTTATCTAACCAAGTAATAGTGTTTTAGCAATTAAATTACAGGATAATTCTGTTTCTTAAAATGTATAAAATAAAAATCAAAAAAATGAAAGCAGCAAGAACTTTTTATTTTAATATGGAACTATTCCACTGTACTCCTGAAAAAAGAAATAAACCCCAATTTTTGTGATCATTAAAACAATGCATCAACTTGCAGAAAAAACTTATGTTTGTTTGTTTACATGCTTCTAACTTTTTACTGCCCAAAGTATAAATACAGATACGTAATATAAAACATCAATATCTTCTAAACATCCTGTATAAGATATAATATCCTATGTATTTGGTTGGTTATATTGCTACACTGCTTAGTTTTAACTGGTTTGTTTTCATACTATCAGAAGAAAAAAGTTGAAAACAAAATCACATGGGGTTGATAATCATACAAAAAGAAAAATATCATTTTGTAAATGAATGAAAGATAAAATATTCTTCATCAAGAGGCTTCTCCTTGATGTCACCTTGTCACATGGGACTACTCCGCATTACCAAGCGGCACTTCTTCAGTGCACAAGGTTATGCTTAAACTTGGAAAAGAAGATGCGTATAATAGAAAGTTCAGTACTGTGGACCCAGGAAACATTCCATAAATGTTGGTTGATAACAGTGTGGTTGTACAAAATAAATATTCTTAAGGAAATAACTTATGTTAACATTTGCTACTTTTATTTAAATATAAATAAATCCCATTGAAACATAAAAAGTATTTGCTTGTTTCTTATAAATCTATAAAATCCAGGGAAGAAGTCCTTTTCTGGGTTGATGGCTTCTTTACCCACACACTGAGGCGTTACCATTATAATCGGACTACATGGCTCTGGCTTTTTGTCTTCTAAAGAGCCAGGCTGTGTAGGATATATAGACAACATCCACAGAAAATGCTATGGATGTAGAAAATACACGTGATGTGCAGAGTGCTTAATATTTTTATTAAAAGGATAATCTTCTAAGATATATGTTATTGCCTTTTAAAAATACTTTATAATATAAGTTTTGCCTACTAACTGTAAATAAAATTTCCTTTGTAAAATATGACTGTATTATTCAACTGGAATGTCTATGGTTCTTCCTTAAAGTATTTTGTGATATGTTGAAATTTTTATAGATTATAGAATAGATGTATTTTTAAAATCAGTTTCATATATTGGATCTAAATGAGCTACAAATTAAGAAAACTAATGACGATATATGTGTATATGTATATATTATGTATTCA